TTTAATTATTTTAAATTAATTGATTTTTATTTGAAAAAAAAAAATTTGGGGAAGAAGAGGAAGTGGGGGTATGATGGAGTATGGTAAAAAATAAAAGTTTTAAATTTTGGGATTGTGAATTGCACATATAAAATATTTGGATTTAATTTGTAAAAAAGTACAAATTTTGCAATTATTTCTTTGTAATTTTGGCATTTTTTACTATTTTAAATGGAAAAATCTAACGGATGTTAACGACGGGGGTTTTCGCACAAAAGGTTTCAAATAGTGGGATTTTCTACGATTTTCAATAGATAATGGGGTATATCGCAAATGGAAACATTTCTATGAGGGCTTTCTGCTATTAATCCAATTAAAAAATAAATTTCCAAAAATGTGCATTAATTTGAACACAAGAAAATGTACATATATAATCAATGTTCTAAAAAGCGAAAATGGTGACTAGGCATGAAGGCCAAATTTCAAACTTTACGAGTCTAGACAGGGCATAGACGTAAAAAAATATTTTCTTATTTTTAATATTATTTTTAACTTTTTAATCATTTAATAATTAAAATAATGCATACCAAACATCTACAACTATAAAATACTATATTTACCTAATAATTTCTACAATTAGTCAATTATACAATTTTCAAGTTTTCGAAATATAAAAATTAGACTATTTTGAAGTTTCAACTTTCAACTGGACAATCCCTACTTAATAGATTTATAAGAACTCTATACATACTTTTGAAGTTTCCAACAAAACAGTAAGTCTCATAATTACATAATGTCTTTTTTTTTTGTACGTATAAAGTTATTTAAAAATTTTAAACTAAAGTCAAATAAGGCTCTTGAAAAAATGAAAAAAAAAATTAATAAACTAAAATCAAATAAAAAGCTTTTAAAAATGGGAAAAAGTTAATCTAATAAAGCGTGGCTAGATCTAATCGCGCATTAAGCAATCGATTGCAACTTGACAGTTGATCGCTTAATTTCACGCTTACTGTCAAGATGTGGCGTTTCGTCCGCGC